CTTCTTCACTTGATTGGCCTATGACTTACTCCTGGTCTATCTTGGCTGAGGCCAGATAATCTGATACTGGGGTGGGTAAAATATGGCATTTGGGCCGCGTCTGGCCCACCAGGCCATTCTATCTGGCCCGCAGGGCCCCTAAAAATTTAGAAAATTTATATTTATCTGCTCCTGGCTGCCTTTCAAAGATGACAGGAGCTAAGGGTAGCAGGACCCAGGGGAAGCCAGCAGGACTCAGTAGCAAGGCCAGCCTGGCCCTTCTCTGCCCCCAGCCCCATCTCACCTGGAAGATTCTGCCTGATGCAGCTTTCCCTGCTTCTCTGCCTGCCCACCGGCCTCTTGAGCACCACACGGCCCCCAGCTGCATCACTGGATCGTGGGAGCATGGGGTCCGCACCAGTACCCCAGGGCCAGGTGTGGGAGGGTGTGTGTGCATGTGTATGTGTGCGTGTGTGCATGTACACATGTCCCTGCAATGAGGGAGGGAGAGAGAGACAGAGAGAGCAATGAGGGAGGGAGAGACTCAGTGTGTGTGTGTATGTGTGTGTGTGTTCATAGGGTGAGTCCCACACACACACCCCACCATACACATGCACCTCTCCTTGCACTCCCATACATACAGCCCCCCACACCCACACCCCCTTATACATCCCAACCACCCTCCCCCCAAGCACAGCCCCCAACAAACCCTATATCTACCCACATCCCACATATCCACACACCCATATGCTCCCTCACCCCACATTCACAGTCCCACACCCTCCCCTACACCCATGGCCACACACCAATAGCCCCCCACAAACCTATACCCACCCCTCCATGCCCTCCTCCCCCCACAGTATACAAGAGTAAGACTTTAAGCTATTGTGCAATCACCTCTGTATACTACACAAACACATGTAAATCAGGACAAAATTATTTTTTTAAATTAAATTAATGAATGTTGTAGATGTTTCATTTTTTATAATATAATTTGGTATTTTTCTGGTTCTGAGATGGCAAACCCCCTTGCTGAAAGGAATACTCTCGAGGGCAAGGGGAGGGCCTTCTGGTGGCAAAGGTCAGGGGTTAGGGAGCAGGAGTTCTGATCACAAGATGGCGACCAGGGGGTGGGGCACCTGTTAAGGGGCAGGGCTACTGATGCAGCCCTCGACAGCTTGCCTAAACTTGGTAAGTGGCCCTCTGCCTGAAATAATAAGCAGCCCACCCCTGCACTAATAGGTAGTTTCTCTTAAGACAAAAGCTAGTGATGCTGGACACTTGGGATCTGCTTAATGGCTTCTTTGTCCCACTCTCAGTTCAGGAAACATCAGGGTGCCTCTCAGTCCAACCAACATTATTCACAATCCTTATTTACTCACAGCATCTCAAGTCCTCCCATATCAGAATCGAACCCTGAACAAGTAAGCCCATCTTCTCTTAATTTCAACTCCAAGGTTACAGTGGGGCCACAGGAACACCTCCCAGCCAAGACAGGTGATGAGCACAAGAAGTACCCAGGTAAGCAACAAGGGTCTGGATAGTCCTAGGAATCGGTGTGGGGTGGAGAGGGTGCATGCACTGATAGGAGGCCTTAAATGCCTTTACACTAATGCTCAAAGTATGGGGAATAAGCAGGAGGAACTCGCCCTCCAGATAGCTAGTACAAACCAGACATAGTAGGGCTCACTGAAACCTGGTGGGATTCAACCCATGATTGGGCAGTAAACATTAGTGGCTACAGACTATACAGGCGGGACAGAATGGGGAGGAAAGGTGGGAGTGTGGTGCTCTACATCAAAGAGCAATACACGTCCTCAGCTAACAGGATGGGGTCAGAGGAGGGGCAGACTAAAGTGCTCTGAGTCAGAATACAAGGGGGTCACGAGGAAAGGGACTTAACGGTGGGGGTCTACTACAGACCACCCAACCAGGGGGAAGAGCTGAACCAGGAATTCTTGGGTCAGCTCGCGGGTGCAGTTAAGTCAAGGGATGTGGTCATCATGGCTGATCTAAACTACCCGGACATTTGCTGGGAGGAGCAGTCAGCCAGGTCTGACTGCTCGTGTAGGTTCCTTGCTGAGATACAAGACCTCCACCTAACCCAGCAGGAGCACAGTCCTGGATCTGGTCCTGGCCACAGGCAATGACCTGGTGAGGGGACTCCAGGTTCTTGACCACCTGGGCAATAGCGATCATTGCCTACTGGAATTCACCATCCAGCACAGAGTGTCAAGGGCCTGCAGCAAGGCAGTAGCCCTTGACTTCAGGAGGGCTGAATTCAATGAGGTGAAGAGATTGGTAGGAGATGAATTGAGGTCCCGGAGAGTAGGGGAAATAGGTGTCCAAGACGAGTGATCGTTCCTTAAGGAGACGTGAAACAAATGTCTCAATAAAGTGCAGCAAGGCAGTAGCCCTTGACTTCAGGAGGGCTGACTTCAACGAGTTGAGGAGATTGGTAGGAGAGGCATTACAGTCCCAGAGAGTAGGAGAACTAGGTGTCCAAGATGAGTGGTCGTTCCTTAAGGAGACAATCCTCTGAGCTGAAGGGGTGACAGTCCCAATGCGAGTCAAAGGGGGCAAGAGTGCTCGAAAGCCCCCTTGGCTTGCTAAAGGCATTCAGGAACGCCTGAAAGCCAAAACGGAGGCATACATCCAGTGGAAGGGAGGGGCTATCACCAAAGAAGATTATACTTCCATCGCTCGAGTCTGTAGGGAGGCTGTTAGGAAGGCTAAGGCAGAGACGGAACTAGGGCTAGCAACAAGGATCAAGGACAATAAAACATCCTTTTTTAAATACATAGGGAGTAAAAAGAAGGAACCTGGCAATGTGGGGCCCCTGAGGGATATGCTTGGCAATCAGGTGGTTGCACCAGATGAAAAAGCAGATCTTTTTAACAAATTCTTTGCTTCCACTTTTCTGAGCAGGGACCGGGGCATCTCCCCCACTGGGATTCAGGATGGACTCAGGAGAGACTCTGCCAGACCTAGGGTCAGGGAGGACTGAGGACTCTCCCTCAGCACCCTGGGGTGGAGAGCATCTGGACCTGCTGATTTGAACATGTCCAGCCCCTCCAGAAGTTCCTTCTGCTTGGGTTCAAGATATAGCTCCCAGTTTTCTCCTTTCCAGGGGACTTCTCTTCTTCTGCCTCCCACCATCCTTTTTCTTCCAGCATCCTGGAACTCCTGGGGTCTTCTGGGATTGCACTTCCCACCTGCCAGACTGGAAGATGCTGGTTTAAAGGGCCCATGTCCATGGTGGTGACTCTGCCACCAGACTTCCAGGTTGGGCTTGCTAGCAGAGGCGAGTGTAGTGGGGCCAGAACCCAGCTCCCTGCTATATGTTGATACCCAAGAAGTAAATTTTGGAGCCATGTGAGAAAACATTTCTAATATGCTGCTGATATTGAAACTAGGCTCAATCTCTAAATTCATCTTTAGTGGGACTATTTCTAATATAAATCTCTGACCAGCCTCACATATCTACCATTTTAACAGCTTACCTACAAACCCCACCAGAAATATTTCCCTTATTTTTTACATTTGAAACACAGAGAAAGGAAATATTCAGATTTAGATCAATTATTGGATCAAGGTTCCACTCTAAACAGCATAGCCAGGTGGGTAACCAGACTTTATACAGTAGAAAACCATGTGTAACAGAATGTCTTGACTAGCCCTGTACAATTATCAGACCCCAAAAGAAATTGGTCAGTTGTTTCCTAAAATGGGCTAAGAAAGAATCTGTAAGGAGACTGTCGGAGGAAGATAGCCTCCTGTGATAGACCCTTAAGTAGGGGGAACAGGGAAGGATTTTCTGAGTATGAAAGGTGGGCAGGGAGATCATTGCATTTGTTGTTTTGCCCAAATTTTATTTAGGAATAAGTCTGCCCAAATAAGAGATTTGAATCCAACCAAGACCTTCTTGGGCTGGAGGAAGTAGGCCAGCCACTTTATGTGAATACAAGTAGTTAGTATACCCAGAAATGTCCTTTTTGGTGGGCATGCAAGTATTTTTTACTATCCCTCACAAAACAGTGCTATTATTCTATATCATAAAGCTATTTTATGCAGTTTTTAAAGGTATCTAAAATGCATCTTCCCTGGAACTCATAACTTGAAAGGAACCTGTCTATGAAGGCAGATCCTGAGACACAATACCAGTAACACTTTTGAATAACTCTTAAACATTCTTAAGAATTTTTTTCTTCTTTGTAATTTGTGGTGTTTGTAAAATGCATGATTCTGGGGTGTGGTTTAAAGGATTTATTGGCCTTTGTTTAAAATGACAGCACACTGGATTTTTTTGGATTACCATGTCCAAGTAATGAATTCGTCTGAACCTCATACTAATAAAACCCTTGTAATACACTCCCTTCACTTATGACACTGAATATTCATGTGATAACTAGGGAATGAAATTGAAGCTACCTAATTAACATATATTTTAACAAAGAGAAGGGTCTCTACAATCATTAACTGCTTCTCACAATCTCTTCAATATGTATACAGTATGCTTATTTTACAGACTAGTCAAGCGAGACCCAGAGGTGAAGTACTTGCCAAAGCCAAGCAGAAAACGAGAACGACTGGAATTAAGGAGTCCTGAGTTCTAGATCCTCAGCCATATCCTTTGACTTAGACCCCCATCAAACAACCATTTATGTGTGTTCTTAACAACACTGAATAGCTCAGTTGACTTAACTGAATCTACACAGGTATGTAAATGGATGGGCAGGATGGGCTTGATAGCAAGGTTAGGGTCTTTTCTTATCCACCAAAGAGCACAAATTTAATCACTCTAGGCATTTCATTATATGATTTTCAAGCAATAATATGCTTAGAAGAACAAGAAGGAAGGATAAGTCAGTGACTGGCTTATAAGAATGGGATCAAGGATTCAATCCTGAGCAAGCTTACATTATGTTTGCAATGTGCATTGATATTATTAGATGGAAGGAGATCACAGAAGAACAAATTATTATTGCTACTACTCAACTATGTGGGCCTAATATATTTACCTGCAGGACTATGTCCCTTTCATTCCGTGTGATATTAACACTGTGTGGCTGTCCATTTGCCATGCTTCTGTGGTCTACATCAATATTATATGGCTCTCTTGTGCCTCCCAGGTTGTATCGAATCTGTAGGTTACCTGTTGAAAGAAACGTGTCCAAATTTTAGTTATTTTTACCTTTATGCACTGGCGCTTTTTGTTTTTATATTCATTTTCACATATGATGACTAACATCCATTAAAATTTAAAGGTGTCTATCTACAGACATGCAGCAAAGCTGCTCCAACACAATGCAATTACAACGCGTTAGAGCAGACTTGATTTATCGAGTTTGTTGGAGCATGGTAATTACTGTGGTCCAGCAGACTCCAGTGTCTCATGTATCAGCATCCCTGTGCTGAAAAATGGCAGTGGAGGTGCTTTAACTAGAGTTCATTTGACGAACTTTAGTTAAAGTGCCCCTGTTACCATTTTTCAGCAAAGGGATGCTGATACACATGACACTCCAGGCACTTTAATTAGAGTGACTCCAAGAGCCACTCTAGAGTCACTCTAATTAAAGGGCACCCTTCCCCACTCCTGGGTTTATAGCATGTCTATAAACACCCTAGATAACCCATGGAGTTGAGCTCTGTTGCAGGAGAATTTAAAGAAAAAATAACCAGTGTTGGAGAATTTAAAGTTATAAGCCTATGAATCATTTACAAAATGCAAGTGCCAATTTACAAAATATAACACAGAACCAGCATCCAAAAAAAAAAAAAAAAAAAAAGCCAAAACCCTCCCCCCCCAAGCAGTTGTAAACAATTCAAATAAAAAAACCCAACCAAACAAGTCAGAGTTATTTCTGGAACATTATGAAAAAGAGCTGCAAATGTTAGCTCACAAAGCATGCACATACTATTGAGATTCATTCTTGCCTCAATAAAATTCATTCAGGTTAAAGAATAGCATAGGGAATAAGGTTTATATGGCATGGGGAATAAGGTTTCTATGAATAAAAGAATGATACTTTTGCAATAAAACCTGAATTACAACAGATTAGTGTTGTTATTATATGTAAACACTAGAGATTTTCTTACGATCCTAATTAGTTGTTGTTTACTGGTGATAAGACTGTAACCTGAGATGTTTCCAAGGACTTTAGAAACATGTAGAAAAAGAAAGATTTAACAAATGGGTACCTCAAGGTAGATTGGTAAGAGCTGGTCAAAAAAATTTCAGTGAAACTATTTTTGATGGATAACTGGATTTTTTTCCCTAAACAACAGGTGATTATATAAAGTTCTTCTTTCTCACAGAAAATGTCAATAGTCTTTTGAATATTGTTTTCAGGTTTTGGCCCCAAACTGAAATATTCTGAGTAAAAGTAGCACTGCTCTACCTTTCTGCAGATATAGTCTGGGCAGCTTCTGCTCCCATTATGGGCTTTCTAGCCATATTACTTCTCCCACGATTCACCAGGTCCAGGATGCTACATCCTTCTACTCACTAAGAAGTAAGTTTAGTGAAAATGTTCAGCCTATTTGAAGAGAATGGGAATCTAAAATATCTGAAGTTCCATCAGGTATCATTTTGAATCAATATTTTTGGGGGTTTGATATATTTCAACAAAAAAATTCCAGAACTCCAGTTTTTCTGATCAGGACTCCTACTAAATTCGTATTTTAAGCATGAACATAGATGACCTAATTTTCAGAAGTGCTAAGCAAACAGCCACTTCCATTGGAAATGCTTCCT